CCTGCCAGGCGGTCGGCATCAGGGCCAGCCCGTGCTAATGAGCTGCTGGAGCTAAGGCGACTATTGCTATTGACCGGCACCCCCTGGAGGCCCCAGCTGAGATCAGACCCCGGGTACCGGGAGCAGCACAGACAGGGGAGAGCCAGGCCCTGCGCCAAAGCGCTGGGAGGAGGGGCACTGCCTTGCCAAGTCCCCCAGCAGGTAAGGGCAATGAAATCTCCTGCGACCCCATCCCCGTGACTGCCCCCAGCTCCCACGACTCCAGCGGGATCCAAAGGCTCCCAGCACCTCACCGAGCTGCTCAGCACCGCGCAGAGTGCCGTCCCTTATTTCTAGTCCCCCTTTCCCCCCGCCCAGGCTGGCTACGCTCACCCTTCGCCTTCAGCTTCTGTGAGTATTACACAACCCTGCCCTGCCGCGGGCTGCATGTTCGTTCGCCGGCACTTCGCACGGATCCCGTCCTGCCACGCAATAGAACAAGGAGCATCTTTCTTCCAAAGAGGCCGCCACTGAAGTTGTTCATGAATATTTCATTCCAGGATAGCGCCTGATGGGCTTTTATTTGGAGGCCGAGCCATCTCTAATATTCCCCTTAGCTCCTCAGTCCCAGTCCTGCAAAACGCAGCACTTCCCCGCCCCCAAACCTGCTTGGCGAGCGAGCCTTTCTCCTGCAGGAAAGAACCACCATGCGAACAGGGCAGGCCAAGCTCAGCCCTGGTGCAAGAGGACCCAGCTCCAGGGAAGTCCAAGATGCGGCCCATGCCTGCAGCAGATGTGACTGGCTGAGGGTGATCTGTATGGGGAAGGTGCAGCCTGCCATGTGGAGCGGGGATTGTCTGATACCAAGGAAGCAAAGGGAACAATGGAAACAGCTGGCCCTTATCTAGCCCTCTTCATCCATTGAGCTCAAAGCAGGACAGCAGCATGATCCCCTCGCTGCATGTGGGGAAACTGAGGCAAAAGGAAACTTCCAGGTGGCCTCTGCTGTGCTTCCAGAATCTGATCCCCACCCTCATTTCTGTAAATAGAAACCCCGATCTTCTCCCATCCTCCCCACCCAACAGCAGCAGGTCCTCACAGCCTTGCCTGTGTCTCTGAGCCTCTTCCCTTTACAAGGGACACCCCTCATTTCAGACCCAGAACTCCCTTTAGAGCGCAGGGCTACCCCACCCCCTTTACTGCAGTAACTAGGGGTGTAGGAACTGCCAGAGTGGGTCAGACCAGGGGGACGTTTACTCTGTGGTATCCTGTCTGGTTCTGGCCAGCGCTGGAGGGTACATCAGTGCCAGGAACATCACTCTCTCGTTAGACGGAGATCGTCCGCCCCGTTGCCTGTCTCTGAACCCCTCCATTTCCGTTCAGCCCTTTCGAGATGGGGTGCCCAGAACCAGGCATAGGATGCCAGGTGCAGGCCCTGCAATGAGCTATACACTTACATTACAGTTGTTCCCAGTATCATTCTTCTGGCCCATTCTTTATACATCGTGCTTGCTGCCCTTTGCAGCTGGGCGGCGAGCCGAGGCCTTCACAGAGCTGCCCATGCTGGTGCCCAGGGCCCTGAGCCAAGTGGTCTATGCAGACTGTGCAAACAGTTCAAATGATCCTGCCCAAAGTGCATTCACTTCCATCTGTCAACTTCGAATTTCATCTACCATTCGGCTAACTGGGTTCGGCCCCCCTGAGCTTCCTCCGTCTGTTCTGTCTTCATCCCCCCAAAGAATTCTCTGTCGTCTGCAAATGCTGCCACCCAAATGCCACTGGACTGGCTCCTGCCCAGCTGTTTGCAGATAACCCTTCCGTTTGCCGGGGATGGATGCCAGGGAGCCTTGGCCTACAGGGGCATCGGTATGGCTTAGACACAAGGCACGAGGGACGGCGTCCGCTCTGATAGTGCCACCCCAGTGAGCTCAGGGGCTAGCGCGGCTGAGGGCAGAGCGCTGGCCCTGTCAAAGCAGCTCAGCACCCACATCTGGAGGCAGATTGTCAGAGGAGCTCAGCACACTGCATGACCAGGAGGTGCTGAGCTCGTGGGAAGGCTGGGAACCAGCTGGGGGTGCCGCGCATGTGAGAACCTGGCCCCAAGCTCGCTGGAAACTGTGCCTCAAAGGCCCAATCTGCCCTGGCCCACTCTCTGCTCAGCCCCCTGAGGTCAATGGAGGAAAATCGCAATGGCCGCAAGCTCTGTCCTGCACAAAGCCTTGCTCTGGGTTTATTGACCTTTAGGACAAAGAAGAGCCTGAAAGAGACACCACCAAAATCAAAACTCCCCTCTTTAAAACAAAATCTCCTGACTGGTCTGACTGGTAACCCCTTCGGTCCTGACCAGACAGACCCTTAGGCCTGGGGAGAGTTTCACACCCTGGGGAAGTCTCAGTGACTTCAGTTAGATTAAAAAAAGAAAAGGAGGACTTGTGGCACCTTAGAGACTAACCAATTTATTTGAGCATAAGCTTTCGTGAGCTACAGCTCACTTCATCAGATGCATACTGTGGAAACTGCAGAAGACATTATATACACAGAGACCATGAAACAATACCTCCTCCCACCCCACTCTCCTGCTGGTAATAGCTTATCTAAAGTGATCACTCTCCTTACAAAGTGTATGATAATCAAGTTCGGCCATTTCCAGCACAAATCCAGGTTTTCTCACCCTCCGCCCCCCCCCCCCCCAAACTCACTCTCCTGCTGGTAATAGCTCATCCAAAGTGACCACTCTCTTTACAATGTGTATGAAAATCAAGGTGGGCCATTTCCAGCACAAATCCAGGTTTTCTCACCCCCCACCCCCATTAACACACAAACTCACTCTCCTGCTGCTAACAGCTCATCCAAAGTGACCACTCTCCCTACAATAAGAAAAGGAGTACTTGTGGCACCTTAGAGACTAACCAATTTATTTGAGCATGAGCTTTCGTGAGCTACAGCTCACTTCATCAGATGCATACCGTGGAAACTGCAGCAGACTTTATATATACACAGAGAATATGAAACAATACCTCCTCCCACCCCACTGTCCTGCTGGTAATAGCTTATCTAAAGTGATCATCAGGTGGGCCATTTCCAGCACAAATCCAGGTTTTCTCACATCCCCCCCACCCCCATACACACACAAACTCATTCTCCTGCTGGTAATAGCTCATCCAAACTGACCACTCTCCAAGTTTAAATCCAAGTTAAACCAGAACATTTGGTTTAACATCTCAGGCATTGGCACCCTGACAGCAGGATTGTCTGGCTATGTAGACTCCCTCCTCAGGCCCTACGCTACCAGCACTCCCAGCTATTTTCGAGACACCACTGACTTCCTGAGGAAACTCCAATCCATCGGTGATCTTCCTGATAACACCATCCTGGCCACTATGGATGTAGAAGCCCTCTACACCAACATTCCACACAAAGATGGACTACAAGCCGTCAAGAACACTATCCCCGATAATGTCACGGCTAACCTGGTGGCTGAACTTTGTGACTTTGTCCTTACCCATAACTATTTCACATTTGGGGACAATGTATACCTTCAGATCAGCGGCACTGCTATGGGTACCCGCATGGCCCCACAGTATGCCAACATTTTTATGGCTGATTTAGAACAACGCTTCCTCAGCTCTCGTCCCCTAACGCCCCTACTCTACTTGCGCTATATTGATGACATCTTCATCATCTGGACCCATGGAAAAGAAGCCCTTGAGGAATTCCACCATGATTTCAACAATTTCCATCCCACCACCAACCTCAGCCTGGTCCAGTCCACACAAGAGATCCACTTCCTGGACACTACAGTGCTAATAAACAATGGCCACATAAACACCACCCTATACCGGAAACCTACTGACCGCTATTCCTACCTGCATGCCTCCAGCTTTCACCCTGACCACACCACACGATCCATCGTCTACAGCCAAGCTCTGCGATACAACCGCATTTGCTCCAACCCCTCAGACAGAGACAAACACCTACAAGATCTCTGTCAAGCTTTCTTACAACTACAATACCCACCTGCAGAAGTAAAGAAACAGATTGATAGAGCCAGAAGAGTTCCCAAAAGTTACCTACTACAGGACAGGCCTAACAAAGAAAATAACAGAACGCCACTAGCCGTCACCTTCAGCCCCCAACTAAAACCCCTCCAACGCATTATTAAGGATCTACAAACTATCCTAAAGGATGACCCAACACTCTCACAAGTCTTGGGAGACAGGCCAGTCCTTGCCTACAGACAGCCCCGCAACCTGAAGCAAATACTCACCAACAACCACATACCACACAACAGAACCACTAACCCAGGAACTTATCCTTGCAACAAAGCCCGTTGCCAATTGTGCCCACATATCTATTCAGGGGACACCATCACAGGGCCTAATAACATCAGCCACACTATCAGAGGCTCGTTCACCTGCACATCCACTGTGACGAAGTGGGACTGTTCTTAATGTTTCCTCTGAATAGTGTGGGGGTGCCTCAGTTTCCCCTAGGCAGTTCTTAAGTATCTAGGGGGTGGGGTAAGGGTGTATGATCATTGCAGAGCCCTAGAGGGCAGGTGTGTGCAGGAGTCTGGACACAGAGAATGGCCAACACCCTGTTTCCTGGCAACTGATGGCCTGGGCCCTTCCCCCCCTGCAAGGTGAGAGCTAAAGGGTTGGAGAACAAAGGAATCAGGTGACCACCTGGCCCGGGAAAGGAACAAAGCCCAGAGGAGGAGGGGCTGGAGGGGGTTTTCAGTTTGGGGCTGGCTGGGACATGGAGTGAAGTGCAGACGTGGTTGTCTGGCTCACTGCCCCCAGAATGGACCCAGCTGAGGGGTCCCGTTCTCTGCACCTGCAAGCTCTGTTTTAGACCATGTTCCTGTCGTCTAATAAACCTTCTGTTTTACTGGCTGGCTGAGAGTCACGTCTGACTGCGAAGTTGGGGTGCAGGACCCTCTGGCTTCCCCAGGAGCCCCGCCTGAGCGGACTCGCTGGGGGAAAGCGCACGGAGGGGCAGAGGATGCTGAATGCTCCGAGGTCAGACCCAGGAAGGTGGAAGCTGTGTGAGCTGTGTGTCCTGAAGACAGGCTGCTCACAGGAAGGCGACTACCCCAGAGTCCTGACTGACTTCATGGGGAGCAGTTCCAGAGCATCGCCCAGGGACTCCGTGACAACTGGTGGGAGTGGTGGGATGTAGTGCACCCCGTGGATGGCGCTTCCTGCAGTAAGTGACTGGGGAGCAGTAACACGAAGGGGGATTGCCGAGGACCAGGCCTGCTGAAGGCTCAGAAAGGAGCAGTTTCGGGGGGCGGTTAACCCCTGGGAGTGTGTGACCAGCGAGAAGGACTGTGCAGTAATGCGGTCCCCCTGGGGACTGCAGTGAGCAGTCTCAGGGGCGGAGGAGTCTGCAGCTCGACCCTGGCAAAGAGGTGGTGACCTCGAGAAGGGCTGGCACACTAGGGGTTCTCCCTGGAAACCGTGGGGAGCTGAGAACACATGGGCCTGTGAGTCCACAACAACTTGGGAGGAGCAGAGTGATGGCCTGTCACCGTCTCCTTACGAAGGACATTGTAACCCTGTGCAAAAAGAGAGGGTTGAGCGTTGGAAAGTTCACCAAAGCAGAGTTAATCGTGCAGCTGGAGGAGGATGACCGCTCTAAGGAACAGATTCCTGACCCCAGCTGGGGCTATAGCAGGATCTGGGAGCAGCTGGAGCGGGAGCCAGGCATCGCCAAGACTCCTGTCCCCGACCAGACGGGGGTCTTCACGATCGGGTTCCCCATCGGGGGATCGAGACGGACGGGACTGGAGCTGAGTCTGAGAGAGCAAGAGGACCCTGGGAGACAGCGAGAGCCCGAGAAAGAGCTGCAGAAGCAGCAGCAGCATGAACTGGCAGTGGTGGGGCGGAGAGGCCTAGGGGACCTCCCCGGGGTGAGTGGGGATAGACCCCGGGGGGCCAGTTCCGCAGGGAACCTCGAGACTAAATTGCTGCCCCTGGTTAAGGAGTGGGGGGATGTGGATGCCCACCTCACTGCCTTTGAGCAGGCTGGCGATTTGAACCAAGGGGACCCTGCGGAAAAGCCCCGGTGTCTAGCTCCCTTGCTGGGTCCCAAGGCCATAGACTCCGTCAGCCAGATGGTTGGGGATGTGGACAGGCTCCCACTCCTGACCCCAACCTATATGTCTGTGTGGAGTTTCCTGGGGCCAGGCCCCTCGGACTTCCAGTGGGAGCAGAAGGTGATGGTCAATGGGGAGACATTCTTGGGGTGGCCAAAGGGCATGGGCTGCATAAACCTTCCCACATGCGGCCTGCGAGTGCTATCGACCACCCCTGACCTAAGGGAGGGTGTGAAACTGGAAGGGCCTGGTGTAACTCCTACCAAGGAATGGGAGAGATGCTGGGGCATCCATGGGAACGTTGGTGGCTTCGAACTTCCCCAGGTCACCGGCTAAAGTAACCCCGCTCAGTTCGATCTCGAAGGGGGGAGAGATGTGACGAAGTGGGACTGTTCTTAATGTTTCCTCTGAATAGTGTGGGGGTGCCTCAGTTTCCCCTAGGCAGTTCTTAAGTATCTAGGGGGTGGGGTAAGGGTGTATGATCATTGCAGAGCCCTAGAGGGCAGGTGTGTGCAGGAGTCTGGACACAGAGAATGGCCAACACCCTGTTTCCTGGCAACTGATGGCCTGGGCCCTTCCCCCCTGCAAGGTGAGAGCTAAAGGGTTGGAGAACAAAGGAATCAGGTGACCACCTGGCCCGGGAAAGGAACAAAGCCCAGAGGAGTGGGGGCTGGAGGGAGTTTCAGTTTGGGGCTGGCTGGGACATGGAGTGAAGGGCAGACGTGGTTGTCTGGCTCACTGCCCCCAGAATGGACCCAGCTGAGGGGTCCTGTTCTCTGCACCTGCAAGCTCTGTTTTAGACCATGTTCCTGTCGTCTAATAAACCTTCTGTTTTACTGGCTGGCTGAGAGTCACGTCTGACTGTGAAGTTGGGGTGCAGGACCCTCTGGCTTCCCCAGGAGCCCCGCCTGAGCGGACTCGCTGGGGGAAAGTGCACGGAGGGGCAGAGGATGCTGAATGCTCCGAGGTCAGACCCAGGAAGGTGGAAGCTGTGTGAGCTGTGTGTCCTGAAGACAGGCTGCTCACAGGAAGGCGACTACCCCAGAGTCCTGACTGACTTCATGGGGAGCAGTTCCAGAGCATCGCCCAGGGACTCCGTGACATCCACCAATGTGATATATGCCATCATGTGCCAGCAATGCCCCTCTGCCATGTACATTGGTCAAACTGGACAGTCTCTACGTAAAAGAATAAATGGACACAAATCAGATGTCAAGAATTATAACATTCATAAACCAGTCGGAGAACACTTCAATCTCTCTGGTCACGCAATCACAGACATGAAGGTCGCTATCTTAAAACAAAAAAACTTCAAATCCAGACTCCAGCGAGAAACTGCTGAATTGGAATTCGTTTGCAAATTGGATACTATTAATTTAGGCTTAAATAGAGACTGGGAGTGGCTAAGTCATTATGCAAGGTAGCCTGTTTCCTCTTGTTTTTTCCTAGCCCCCCCCCCCCCCCCAGATGTTCTGGTTTAACTTGGATTTAAACTTGGAGAGTGGTCAGTTTGGATGAGCTATTACCAGCAGGAGAGTGAGTTTGTGTGTGTATGGGAGTGGGGGGGGATGTGAGAAAACCTGGATTTGTGCAGGAAATAGCCCGACTTGATTATGTAAAGAGTTGTCACTTTGGATGGGCTAGCACCAGCAGGAGAGTGAATTTGTGGGGGGGGGTGGAGGGTGAGAAAACCTGGATTTGTGCTGGAAATGGCCCACCTGATGATCACTTTAGATAAGCTATTACCAGCAGGACAGTGGGGTGGGAGGAGGTATTGTTTCATATTCTCTGTGTATATATAAAGTCTGCTGCAGTTTCCACGGTATACATCCGATGAAGTGAGCTGTAGCTCACGAAAGCTCATGCTCAAATAAATTGGTTAGTCTCTAAGGTGCCACAAGTACTCCTTTTCTTTTTGCGAATACAGACTAACACGGCTGTTACTCTGAAATCTCCCTACAATGTGCATGATAATCAAGGTGGGCCATTTCCAGCACAAATCCAGGTTTTCTCACCCCCTCCCGCCCCCACACACAAACTCACTCTCCTGCTGGCAATAGCTCATCCAAACTGACCACTCTCCTTACAATGTGTATGATAATCAAGGTGGGCCATTTCCAGCATAAATCCAAGTTTAACCAGAACGTCTGGGGGGGAGGGGGGTTAGGAAAAAACAAGGGGAAATAGGCTACCTTGCATAATGACTTAGCCACTCCCAGTCTCTATTTAAGCCTAAATTAATAGTATCCAATTTGTAAATGAATTCCAATTCAGCAGTTTCTCGCTGGAGTCTGGATTTGAAGTTTTTTTGTTGTAAGATAGCGACCTTCATGTCTGTAATCGCGTGACCAGAGAGATTGAAGTGTTCTCTGACTGGTTTATGAATGTTATAATTCTTGACATCTGATTTGTGTCCATTTATTCTTTTGCGTAGAGACTGTCCAGTCTGACCAATGTACATGGCAGAGGGGCATTGCTGGCACATGATGGCATATATCACATTGGTGGATGTGCAGGTGAACGAGCCTCTGATAGTGTGGCTGATGTTATTAGGCCCTGTGATGGTGTCCCCTGAATAGATATGTGGGCACAGTTGGCAACGGGCTTTGTTGCAAGGATAGGTTCCTGGGTTAAAAGAAAAGGAGTACTTGTGGCACCTTAGAGACTAACCAATTTATTTGAGCATGAGCTTTCGTGAGCTACAGCTCACTTCATCGAATGCATACCGTGGAAACTGCAGGGAGGAGGTATTGTTTTATGATCTCTGTGTGTATATAAAGTCTGCTGCAGTTTCCACGGTATGCATCCAATGAGGTGAGCTGTAGCTCACGAAAGCTCATGCTCAAATAAATTGGTTAGTCTCTAAGGTGCCACAAGTCCTTCTCTTTTTGCGAATACAGACTAACACGGCTGTTACTCTGAAATCTGGTTCCTGGGTTAGTGGTTCAGTTAGATTGCGGTCACAAGTAACATTACTCACACACTTCAGTATTCGCAGGGCTGGGCCTTAGAGGGCAAAATCTGAAAGCAAGTTAAAAGCTGATTGACTTCTCTGTGCTCGTGATCATTGTTCATTTCAATCGGATGATGCCTGAAATGGGAAAACTTGGCCTTGCCAATTCCCACCATTTTCATCACAAGTCTTGTGATATTTGGTGTTTGTTTCAAAGTTTCTAGCATTTCCTGGTTGCAGGGAAAAACTCAAAAATGTAACCCAGGTGTCCCCTAATGGCTCAGACACCAGCTGGCAACAAACCCCACAGCTTGGGGTGTTGTTTTTTTAATCTCGTGATTTGAAGTCAGTTTCATGGTTTTGGGGGTTCTGCCTCATGATGTCTGAACCCTTGGGGTGTGCAACACTGGAAACCAGATTAGGGGGCTTCAATTATTTTTTCTAGTAAGTTTCACTTGTTGGTTCTGATGCACTAGTCCAGATAGGCTCTGGTTACGTTTGTCTCCAGGATGCTACAGAAGAGTCAAATCCAAAAATATTTTGTATGTTTTGAAATTAAAAGGAATTCACCAAAACACTGCTAGTCACACTACACTCTGTACCCCCGCAACCCTCCCCACTTAAGAATACCTACATCTCTAGTCTCATTCCCTGCTGCATTCCTCCAGTTTTATGCCAGCGTAACTCCACTGATTTCATAACGCTGGAGTAAGGCCGTGGTGGGTCAGGTACTTTGGCGTGAAATGAAATTGACCGAGCCCCGTTAAGAAAGGGCTCCACACCTAAGACCCATAATTATCTATGAAAGACAAGAACCACTGATTAAATATTGTTTCATATTCTCTGTGTGTATATAAAGTCTGCTGCAGTTTCCACGGTACACATCTGATGAAGTGAGCTGTGGCTCACGAAAGCTCATGCTCAAATAAATTGGTTAGTCTCTAAGGTGCCACAAGTACTCCTTTTCTTTTTGCGAATACAGACTAACACGGCTGTTCCTCTGAAACCTGATTAAACCCTGAAGACTTGGGGATTCAGAGCTGAACACATGAGTAGCTGATTCATTCTGGGATGATTACAGACGCTCAAACATCCAGAATCTATCACTGGGCTCTAAGACTCGGCTTCGGCCGCCAGCACTGAGAGATGAGACTTCTTCAGCCCCAGTGTCCAGTGAGCAGAACGCCCTCCGCTAGCTGCTGCCCCCGGAGCGAGGTGACTCGGCCGCAGAGTGTTGCTTCCCATGTAATAAAAAGCGGAGCACAGACTATCTGGGGTTGTGCTGACCACAGATTATCGTGTTCAGTGTCCGCCCTGCGAAATTCACTCACAAATCTCCATGTGCACCCTGATCTGTGCACAAGACAATACACACCCAGCCGGCTGCACACTTCCTGTGCCTTCAGATTCCTGCCGTGAAACTGTCACCGGCTTTCCCAAGGAGCCTCCTACAAGATGCGTGCGTGTCACGGCTGCCTGTGTAACATGGTGATCACATGCACCAGCGCCGTTTGCACCTGGGCTTGCTTTGCACGGAGAAAGTGGTGCACGCACAGATGGCCATGTCACTGTGCGATTGGAGGCACCTGTGAGGTCCTGAGTTAAGGGACTGGCCACAGGGTAAGACATTGGATTAGCACATTGATCCTGCTTCTTCTCAGGGCCAGTCTCAGTGGGATGAGCAGCTGTCACTCACAGCCAAAAGGGTTGCTGCTTTAGTACAGTGTTTTTGGAGCTAACAGCGCCAGGTTTGATCCTTGCCTAAGGGTAGGTCTACTCTGCAATAAAACACCCATGGCTGGCCCAGGTCAGCTGACTCTGGCTCAGGCGGAAAGTCTATAAAACCGCAGCTTAAACGTTCTGGCTCGGGCTGGGCCCAGGCTCTGAGATCCCACGAGGGAGGAGGGTCCCAGAGCCTGGGCTCCAGTCCGAGCCTAAACATCTACACTGCAATTAGCCCTGGGAGCCGGAGTCAGCTGTGTGTGCGTGTGTTTTATTGCAGTGTAGACGTACCATACATGGCTAGGCTGTGATTCATTACATAATGAGTGCTGCAAAACTATCGGCTTTAGAACATCCAACCTGCTCCCAACTCTCTGAGCCCCTAATGCCCGGAATCCCCACTGTGCTCCTCGCGGTTAAACAGCAGTCTCCCAAACTGAGCTCAATAACCACACAGCAACGTGTCCTCTATCCGCGTAGTGCCATTCACACGCACAGCATCTCCCGGCGCTTGGCAATAAAGATGAGTCTGAAAGTAAAACTCTGGAGTCCCTGGATCTGGGGTGTTTGAAATCCAGAGCTATCTCTGCACAACAGTCTGGGATCTCTAGCACCCCTAGAGCGCTGGGGTCCCGAATCCCTGGACAGA